TCTACAAGATGGTGGACCATGATTACCGTGTTGCTCAAGCTTGTTGCATGGTTCGGGTTTGTTGCGTTCGAGTTGCAATCGACGTGGTTCTGGTAAGTTGCATGCTTGCTTCGGGCGTGTTGCGTTTGGTTCGGGTTTTGTTGCGTCTGGTTCGGGTCTGTTGCGCTCGGTCTGGGTCACGCGTGGTCCACGTCGTTCGGGTGTGTTGCATGTGGGTCCAATGTGTTGCGTTTTAGCATGGTGTGTTGCTTCTGCGTGATGGTCATTCCTATGGACGACTCCTGTGGGTATTGTTTCATGTGGTTCGAACATGTTGTTTCTGCTGCTTGTCATCGCCATGCCACGTTCCGTCATCCACACCCCCGCTGTTTTGATTCATCCCCTGTGGCCCCATGTCCACTCCACACTCGTTGCGTCCTCCTCTCCCCCCTCCCCCTCCCCCTCCTCCCCCTCCTCCTCCTCCCCGTTATCCTCCTCCTTCCCGTTCTCCTCCTCCTTCCCATCCTCCTCCTCCTCCTCCTCCTCCTCCTCCTCCTCCTCCTCCTCCTCCTCCTCCTCCTCCTCCTCCCCCTCCCCTCAACTTCCCCTTCCGCCTCCTCCGCCTCCTCCTACACCACTCCACCTCAGACTCATCTCCGCTTCCGTTCCCTTCGCCTCCGATCCCCTCCTCCTCCTCCTCCTTCCTCATTCTGCTCCTCATCGCCATCCTCATCCTCCTCCCCTTCACCGTCTCTCATCCCCTCCTTCAGAGCAACGAACTCGATTGGATTCCAATGGGTTCGTCTGATGCCAATAAGATCACAGTCGGCAGTGTACCAATAGGATTTCAATAGCACCCCGATATGGCTTCATTCGGAATCCGATGCTTTACATATTCTTGCCTCAGACGAGGCACTTTACCACTAAGTAGCACGCTTCAGATAGCGACGTGAAGTGTTTCTCTTACATGGCTCCACGGAGATGTCGGACATTTCAGCGCGTTTGTCGCCAATGTGCGTCTTCTTGCGGGGTTGCAAAGTGGCCTTCCTGGTTGCAAGGAGTGCCCTTCTGGGAACCTCCATGCTCGTTGTAAAGTGCCCAATCTCGGTTTCGGTTGTAAAGTGCCGCTCTGGTTGTTGAAGGGGCCATGGGACACACAAAGAAATACACACAAATAACCGGATGTCCCATAGTTTCCCATGTTTTCTGGGTTCTTGTCTTCCCCCCACTTCCAATATTTTCCTATATTTTCTGGGGGGTCGACGATTAATTGTGTCTGTGTGTTTATCTTTATTCTCTCTCTCTCTCTCTCTCTCCTGAGGATAGCCGGACCGAGGACACCTCGGCCACCAAGCGTACTCGGACCTAGGACAGAAGAACATCCCTCAAGAACACGAGACCCTCCGCCGGCCAAAATGAAGAGCATTCGTGGGTGCCCTCCCACAGGATGCGGACGCGCAAGTGCATCCAGCAAGCACGAAGAACAGAAGGGTACCCTCCCCGAGCCGACCTTGATCTCACAACACCTCGGGCCGACTGTCTCGTTTTTCCAGACGCGGTCCCTGGAAGTTTCCATCCCCTGGGGCTGACTGTTCGTCCCGAGTCGTTGTTTTGACGGTCTCCGGGCCAGGCGGAGGCCCCCGGAGGCCGAAGGCGGCGATGAGCCTGCGAACCGAATTTTCTGAGACGTTGGAGGTCTGGGGCCGACGCCGTCCGAGACCCTCCGAGGGCCCGCCGAGCGCCGCCGAGCGCCGCCGAGCACCGACAGGCGGCCGCTGGGCGGCGGCACGGCGATGGGCTCCGCGCGGCATGCTCGGGGTCGCCGCCGGGCAGGCCGCCCCAGAGGAGCACCGCGCCGCAGGCGGCCGCGACCGCCGCGGCGGCGAGCGCCACCGCCGCGCCGCCCAGACCTCCGACGGCGACTGGTCGGCGGCGTCGACGGCGGCGGCGGTGACGGCGGCGGCGACGACGAGGGACGAGTGGCGACCGACGACGGCGGCGGCGGCGAAGGCGGGGGGGGGACGGCGGCGGCGGCGAGGGACGAGTGGCGACCGACGGCGACCTCGGCGGCGGCGGCGGGGACGGCGGCGGCGGCGGGCGTCGGACCGCGGTGCTCCAGGCGGCGGCCGCCGCCGCGGTGCGCGCCGGGCGCCGCAAGCAGCGGCGGCGCCGCCGCCCCGGGCGCGCGGGCGCCTGTGCGGCCCGCGGCCGTCGGCCGTCGACGCCGCGGTCGTCATCACGGCGGCGGCGTCGTCGGTCGTCGTCCGTCGGCGTCAGCGGACGTCGTCGTCCGCCGTCGCCGTCGTTCGTCGTCGCCGCCTGAGAGTCGTGGCCCTCCGTGGCAGCCCGCCGCGGCTGCGCCGGCGATCGGCGGGCAGTGGGCGGCCGCCATGCTGGTCCGCACAAGGGCGCCGCGCACCTGGCGGCTCCCACGACGGGTTCGCGCCGCGTCAATTTGGGCGCTGGTGTCTCTACGCATTCGAAGATGGGCGACCAAAGAAGCGGGTCTCACGCGAGATGGCATAGGGACCTTACGTGGCGGCTCACGCAGGCCGCCAGCGCGGCATGCCACATTGGAAACGAGGTCGCTTACACGCGACCTTACGCGCGCAGCTTACTTACGCGCCAATGTCGGTGAGGACGACCCCGTTCCTGCGTCGCTCACGCGGGCCCCTTGTCAACCCATCGGTCTTCGGCCGTCTTCGGCCTTCTTCCGCCGATCCCCGGCGGTCTGCAATGCTGTTCTGCGGCTTCTGGCCGTCCTCGGCGCGAAAGCTGGAGGGCAACGTTCAGCCAGGGGTCCTTGATCAAACGCCTGAATCGGGGAGACGTAAGACCCGGGTACGGGGGACTCGGAAATCCCCGACGAGGTCGTCAAAAAAATGACGAGGCCGAGCCTGCATTTTGACGAGGCCTCCCGCTGCAGACATCCCACGAAACTCCTCCTCGTCAAAATCCGAGGCGCGGTCGTCAAAAAACGATGGCGAACCCGAGTCCCGGCAAACCCGGGTCTTACGCTCCCCCGACTGAATTCCGACGCCGCGCGGGCCGCTCAGCCACGAGACCGCGGCTTCCCGACCGCGCGGATCACCCGCTGCCGGCCGACCGCGGGCCACGGTCGGCGCCGCGTCGGCGCGGCACGAACCTGCTTTTTCCGCACCCGTTCTCCTGGAACCTCCCTCCCCTTCCTCGGCCCCGACCTCGTCGTCGTCACAGTAATCTTCGTCATCGTCGTCCTCCTCCTCCCGCTTGATCCTCATGTGACCCTGGCCTTCTCGTTGTCGTCGTCGTCCTCGTCGAGGTGGTCGAGGCTCGAGCTCTTGCGAGCTGGAGGTCGACGACGACCCCAACCGCCTCAAGATCGGTCCCCCGAGCCCTCCAAGGGAACGTCCTGGCAGGGTCTCCTGTCTCAGATCGATTCCTCACGGCGCCACGAGTCCCGAAAATCGCTTCCGCATGCCGGGAACGTGGCGAAAAACTAACCGCAACCTCCCGATAAGAACCCCCTGGGGATAAAGAAGTTCGGGGCCCAGCGGGGATGATAAACGTTTTCCCGGAGATCTCAACATAAGGATGAAGATGATGACGATGATGATGATCAGGATGATCATGAACGCTCACAAGAATAATTGAACACTAATCCACCGAATTCTTCCGGAAATCTATAATAATCCAAAGGATGCCTTAAGAAATCCATGGGATTCCGGAGGAAATCCAATGGATTCCTTCGGAAATCCATGGGATCCCGTAGGAAACCCATCGGATTCCGTAGGAAATCGATGGGATTCCTTCGGACATCCATAGGATTGCTTCGCAAATCCATCGGAATCTTTAGGAATTCCATCGGATCCCTTGGGAACTCAATCGGAATCCTTAGGAGTTCTTGCTACTCAACAGAAGAAGAGAGCAACTTCGATTCGCATCTTTCCTCCGCGATAAAAAAGTTCGGCCCTGCCGCTTCTCTTCCCTGACCAACTGCATTGGCCGTGGAAAATTTAACACTCAGTCCGAAACGGGGGGAATTGATTATCGGGAGGTGGCGGTTATTCGAACCCCCACGAGGGCGGCGACGACGACCACCGACCGACCACCGACCTGAGGGGGAACGATAGGGGGGGCTGGCTCTTCTGGGGGGAACATCGAGCTTGCACCGGTGATGCTTCGACGGTAGATCGGCGATGGACCCCCGAGAGCCATTCCGCACGCTCCTGGGAGTTGCGGGTAGCCGGGCCCCCATCGACGATGAACGGGTGATTGGGGCTCGATGTAACCCTGCTGATTTGGTTCACTCAAAAGGGGGTCCAGCTGAAAGGGGGTTGTGGAATAGATTTGAAGCAACTGTATTGCACATGTATTGCGCCAGAGAAATCTACGGCATCTTCTTACAACAAATGCATTGCACGCGGAAGTCCAGCAACTCATTTGCGCATCGGAACATAGTGCACGCCTCAAATCTATTGCAACTCCACAAATCTCTTGTATCAAATCTGCACCACACCCTTGTAGCTGGACCCCATCTGCGTAAACCACCAGAGCTGAGCCTATCAACCCCTGACATTGCCCCTGACTGCCGACGGGCGACGGACGTCAACGGACGACGACGACCGCGGACCGCCGCCCGACGACGACGACGACCTTCGAGATCAGACGGGGCGAAAAATTTAGACATCGTAAATAAATCGGCTACAGCGTGGGCGGTACTTCAGGGGGATACGATACATGGGGGGAGCACGGTGCCCTTCTCGGGCCCGAAAGGCCCTTCTGGGGCCCTAAAGGGCCCCCTTTCTGCAGCCCTCGCTGCCCCCCCATCTATCGCGGATCAATTAGCCATAGACCCCAACTTTCTGCTGCATTTTTCGAGCAGGATCGCTCCATCAAGGTCCAGGGACCCGAAATCTGTCGAAAACGCCCGGCTCGGAAGAATTGAGACGCCAGGATCTCATGGACTGACAATGACGACGGACGACGACGACGACGACGACGACGACCGCCGACCGAGGATGGCGAACGACGACCGCGGACGACGACGACGGCGGACGGCGGACGACGACAGCGACGGACGGCGCTTACGCTGAGGCAGCAGCGCGCGCGCGCATCGGTGGCGGTGGCCTCGGCGTCGGCGACGCGCTCGTCGTCGAGACGACGTCGTGACCGTCGTGACCGTCGCCGTCGTCGTCGTCGTCGTCGTCGTCGTCGTTGTCGTCGTCGTCGTCGTCGTCGTCGTCGTCGTCGTCGTCGTCGCTGTCGTCGAGACAATGTCGTCGACGGCGTTGTCCCTCGTCGTCGTGCTCGCCGTCGTCGTCGCCGTCGCCGTCGCCGTCGCCGTCGCCGTCGTCGTCGTTGTCGCGCTCGTCGTCGTCGTCGTCGTCGTCGTCGTCCTCGTCGTCGAGACGATGTCGTCGTCGGCGGCGGCAATCGTTGTCGCGTTCGCAGTCGTCGTCGTCGTCGCCGTCAGCGGCGTCGTCCTCGTCCTCATCCTCGTCCCCGTCCTCGTCGTCGGCTTCGTCGTCGTCGCGTCGTCGAGACGACAAGCGGACACGGCGCGCGCACCTCTGGCTCGCTCAGGTGCTCCTCGTCCCCGTCCTCGTAGGCCACGTGGTAAGCCCGCTCCCCGGAGTGGATGTCCCGGTCTATGCTTATCACCTGCGAGAGGGTCGAACAGCCAGGAGCGAGGTGCGATGTTTCGAGCGCCGATCGCCTGCAAGGTGGCCCCAGGCGAGGCCAGCACCGAGGCCTTGGAAGGAGGAAGAGGAGGCAGGAGGAATGAGGATGGCTCAGGCAGGATCAGGGTCGCGGTCTGTTCTTCTCACCTGCAGGAGGGAGGACCGAAGTTCGAACCGATGGGAGGAGGTGGGAAGAAGTGGGAATAATAATAATAATAAGAAGAAGAAGAAGAAGAAGAAGAAGAAGAAAGCAGAAGAAGCAGAAGAAGAAGAAGAAAACGAAGAAGAAGGAAGTCTCCAAGACTCCAATGGTCCCCAGAACTCTCTGGAAGCATCTGGTCCCTGGATGCCCCGACAGTTTTTCGAGGTCTCCGGGTCTCTGGGAGCACCAGGGACCCTCCAAAGAAGGAAACAGGAAGAGGAAGAGGAGAGATGCGGGAGAAACGCAGAGGTCTGTCGCCTGCCCGTAGAAGGCGCATTCCCCGAAGACCTTCCTGACGGTGGCGCCGAACAAGGGGTCCGCCTCCGCAGGCTCAGGGCGGCAGAGGAAGTTCGTCGTCGTCGTCGTCGTCGTTTGACGGCATCGATCGATGTCGACCGTCGTCGTCGGCTATGGGAGAAGGAGGCGGCAGGGAAGGAGTAGGTCCTCCTCGCACCTCCTCCACCTCCTCCTCCTCCACCTCCTCCTCCTCCTCACCCTCTTTCATCGCGCACGTTTTCACCGTAGTTTTGAGGGAGAGGAAGGGGCGGGCAGCACCAGGACACAGCACCACCATGAACCACTACTCGGGGCACCGCAGATGCTTGCAAGGTGTGACGCTCCGCACCGCAGCCGCGACAGTCCAGCGCGCTGCCCAATTCGGCCGCCACCGTGCACGCCAGGAGGGGCCCTGCAGGAGGAGCACACTATTAAGGGAACAAAAGGTGACATAAACATAAAAACTCGGAGGGCCGCGCGGACTTCTCGGATCGGCGGCTGGACCCCCCTCCCTGGCGCGCGGAGCGCGCCAAGGGCGGCGCCGGAGGCGCCACCGGGGGGCCCCAGCGCCGATCCGAGAAATCCGCGCGGCCCTCCGAGTTTTTATGTTTATGTCACCTTCTGTTCCCCCAACCATGGCCAACATACCAGGGGGGGGGGCTCTACAGGAAGGGGGGGGCCACGCGCGGGCATTCCCTGGCAGTTTACGCCCGGGCGGGGCACCCGCTCGAGATTTATTACCCGCCCATGGAACATCGGAACCCCCAGGGCGACGCAACTGCCCCAACGTGGCGGCGCGATGGTGACGTGATCTGTGTGGCCTGATGTGGGTGCCCTGTGGGGGGAGACTCCCGCTCGAGACTTCCGCCAACATCGCTGCCAAACGAAGTTCCCGTTGAGGACTCTTTTATGTTTGAGCTTCGAACGCCCAGAATATGATGGTTCTAGGATCTGGATGACTCCTTCGCATTGGTAACGTGATCGGGGGGCTCCTATGGGCAAGGCTTCCAGCTCAACACGACTTCGTAATTCCCTCACGGGCGAAGTTCCCGCTCGAGACCTTTTCAATTTGAGTGTGTCGTTCAGGATGCAAGAACGCTTGATGCTGCGTGCGTTCGGGTATGGCTTGTTACGCATCTGGCGATGATGGCACGTCGCAGGTCGCACAGTGCATCGCACAATGATGGAACGGATGGCCGCTCAAGGCAACCAGCGCGCAGCCCACCGTGGGCCCACCTCGGCGTCCTGCACCGCCGCCAGCATGAGCTCGGCCAGGCGCGAAACAAGGGCACTGCAAATGCATGTCAGGATAGGGGGCCACAGGCGAACCCTACCCCTACCCCCCACGATTTCTAAGGGGGAGGGTGGGGTTCACTTCGTTCGGAAGCTCCCGAGCGAAATGAACCCCACCCTCCACCTCAGACATCGGGGGGGGTAGGGGTAGGGTTCGCCTGGGGCCCCCTACAGGAGTGGCGCTTCACACCGCACGTGCGAAGGTCCAACGCGTTGTTCAATACAGCAGCCACCGTGCACACCTTCTCGATGACACGAACATCAATGGGGGGAGTGGGCCATGCGGGAAGGGTGGGGCTCCCTCTCGAGAGCTTTCCGCACTCCGCGCGCGAACGAATCATAATATCACTCACGAATTGGGCTCACGCTGAAGGTTTCCCCATGTTGAATCTTCGAACGCCGAACACATGATTGTTACAGGATCTGGATGGCGTCCTCGCATTGGTAACATGATCTGCGGGGGGGGGGGGGGCGTATGGGTAGGGGCTCCCGCTCGAAACTTCCCCGTAATTCACTCGTGGGCGAGGTTCCCTCTCGATGCTTCCTCAATTCAGTGTGGTTAGGGATACATATGCGCGCAATTGACTGTATGAGGGTATGGACGGTTACACGAACGGCGATGGCGTCGATGATGGCGACGGCGACGTTGATGGCGTGATGATGATGATGTTGATGATGACGATGATGATGATGATGTCGATGATGATGATGATGACTATGATGATGATGATGATGATGATGATGAGGATGAGGATGATGACGGCGAGGACGGTGACGATATGAGGTGAGTCGCACAGTGCATAGCACACCGATGGACAGGATGGCCCCTCAGGGCGACCTGCTCGCGCCGAATCGCGGGCCCACCTCGGCGTCCTGCGCCGCCGCCATCGTCAGCTCGGCCAAGAGCGCAGCGAGGGCATGTGACACTGTGGCCGAAATTTGCCGCGCGAACACCCACCGCACCCCCCAAGAACCTTCGGGCGGGCCCGGGCGGGGGGCGCCCCTCGCTCCCCTCAAGGGGGGCTGAAGTTTTTGATCCCCAAGGGCGTTTTCGGAGAGTGCCACTCCCTAGTCCTGAACCAAGAAGAAAGCCGCCGTGCATCAGCCCGCTCGCAGGTGATGGTCGCCCTGTCTGCGCTGATGTAGCAACTGTTCTTGCCAGCGCCTTTTCCCAGGCCCGCGCCTGCCACATGTTGAGCGCGCTGCCACACCTGTGCCACCGCCGGCCGTTCCGCGCGAGGTGCGGCCCGGCTGCAGCCGCGCCTGGCGAGAGCGCCGCGTTCCATCTGATCTTCCTGCGCCACTGCTTTTGTTCGAAGGCGCGGTGCGCGCGCTAAGGTGGTGTTCCTGCATGTGCAGCACGTCGCCCAAGTCCATATCCAGCACCGCCACCAGCTGCACGTCCCCCGACTGGTGGCCCAGCTGCGTCGGGAACGGCCCCCGCACAGACCGCTGCCCCACCAGACCGCCTCCCACGCCCGCGCATGGGCAGCGTCCGTGATCCTCAAAATTCTATGAGTTGGCGCGCCTTCCGCAGAGCAGCTGCAGCCGCCGCGGGGTCCGCGGGGGGTACATGTGGGCTGCATAATTCGTCTCCCTGCGCTGCCTGTCCCAAGCTTGCTCCCCCAACGGTGCAAGGCCCCTGGACTTGGGCGCGCCCGGGCACCAAGGCGACCATCACCCTGCGGCAAACGCACCCGGACCGGAAGCCCTCGGAGCCTGTGGCTCACCTCCTCCGGGAAGGCTGGCGCCAACATCTCTTCGCTGCATGGCTTCGCGGCAGTCGCCGCGACGCAACGGAATGCGCTGGCATCCCGTACGACCCCATCAGGCATAAGAAGGTATTGGATACGATCAACGTCGTCCCCGGTTTCTTCCGCGTGGCTGCGGGCGCGACGTACTCGCCCATGGCCCTACACCAAGGGGACGCTAGAGCGGGCTTGCGCCCGTGGTGCAGGCGATCACTTGGGACGTGGCATCACGTTTGCTGGCAGTGCTGCAGCCCCCGGTGGGCGGCCCGGCTGTGCGCGGCGCCTTTCGATGCCCTGCAGAGAAGGCTGGGGAAGCCGACCATGGTCAAGGAATGCAAGGAGACGGACCTGCAAATCGCCGGCTGGGTGGTGGAGGTCGAGCAAGCCATCCGTGAGGACCGGCATGGCACACCAGTGTTAACTACTCGTTAACCATGTAGGTTGAGGAAGGCGGCGGAGGAGGAGGCTGGCGAGGAGGAAGAGGAGGTGGCTCACCGCGCCTGGTGCTAGGTGCCCCGCCTGCTGCTCAGCCACCCCTGCGCCAGCATCAAGAGGGAGGAGGGTCTCGACCTTCCTCGCACAGGTGTTCGGTCATCACGACCGCCTTGCATCTTATCAACCTGTTCAGCTTCTTCGGCTTGATGTTCAGCTTCCGAACCGCTGTCTCCTCTTCCATATGCGTCGCCTCCTGCTTTCCCTCCCGCAGCGGGAGCGCCTTGAACCAGCGCTCGTAGGTTGCCCGCACGCTGCTCCCATTGTGCTGCGAAGCCCAAAGCCAACATGCCAGGGGCCTCCTCCAAAACTTTGAAGAAAGTGGCTGCCCGCTGGGCCGTTGGGCGCGGCTCAGCAGGAAAGCTGTCGCCCGCCCCCCCGTTCTGTGCCGCCGCTCCTCCGCTGCCATCGTTGTCAACCCATTGTCCTTCCTCTCGCTCATTGGCCAGCTTGCCCATCAACCCGGTGATGGAAACCTGCATCTCCATTTTTCGGTGGCGGTGTTATGCGTGCAGTCCACCTCGTTTTTCTTGTTCTGAAGGTTGCGCGGTTCCTTGTCGATGCTGCTGGTTCGACAGCGCCTCCGTCGTGCTCTTCTGCGAGCGCGGCCTCCTTTCGAGCTCCCCGAGCTGCGCGGGCGTTGGCTTTCCGACCGCGATCTCCGCCGAAAATCCGCCGACCCTGTCGGCGTGTGTGAGGGGCTTTTCCGTTCGAGCCGTCATCTCCGTCATTCTTTGTACTCGTCGTCTCTGTCCTTCCCTTTCTCTGGGAGACCTCTTCCCCTGGGCTCCAGCCAAGCCGACCTTGAGCAACCTCGTAATTGAGTCGAAGGGAAGCCCCTTCCCTTGATCCCCCCCCCGCCGAGGGGGGGGGGGTCCGACCCCCCCCCGGGTCAGATACGACGCCCCCCCCTGGGACCCCTGGGCTCCAGCCAAGCCGACCTTGAGCAACCTCGTAATTGAGTCGAAGGGAAGCCCCTTCCCTTTGATCCCTCCCCCGCCGGGAGGGGGGGGGGGTGTCGACCCCCCCCCCGGGTCAGATACGACGCCCCCCCTGGGACTCCTCTTCCCCTGGGCTCCAGCCAAGCCGACCTTGAGCAACCTCGTAATTGAGTCGAAGGGAAGCCCCTTCCCTTTGATCCCTCCCCCGCCGGGAGGGGGGGGGGTACGACCCCCCCCCCCCCCGGGTCAGATACGACGCCCCCCCCTGGGACTCCTCTTCCCCTGGGCTCCAGCCAAGCCGACCTTGAGCAACCTCGTAATTGAGTCGAAGGGAAGCCCCTTCCCTTTGATCCCTCCCCCGCCGGGAGGGGGGGGGGTGTCGACCCCCCCCCCGGGTCAGATACGACGCCCCCCCTGGGATTCCTCTTCCCCGGGGTCCAGCCCAAGCCGCCCTTGAGCAACCTCGTAATTGAGTCGAAGGAAGCCCCTTCCCTTTGATCCCTCCCCCCGGGAGGGGGGGGGGTGTCGACCCCCCCCCGGGTCAGATACGACGCCCCCCCCTGGACTCCTCTTCCCCTGGGCTCCAGCCAAGCCGACCTTGAGCAACCTCGTAATTGAGTCGAAGGGAAGCCCCTTCCCTTTGATCCCTCCCCCGCCGGGAGGGGGGGGGGGGTGTCGACCCCCCCCCCGGGTCAGATACGACGCCCCCCCCTGGGACTCCTCTTCCCCTGGGCTCCAGCCAAGCCGACCTTGAGCAACCTCGTAATTGAGTCGAAGGGAAGCCCCTTCCCTTTGATCCCTCCCCCGCCGGGAGGGGGGGGGGGTGTCGACCCCCCCCCCGGGTCAGATACGACGCCCCCCCCTGGGACTCCTCTTCCCCTGGGCTCCAGCCAAGCCGACCTTGAGCAACCTCGTAATTGAGTCGAAGGGAAGCCCCTTCCCTTTGATCCCTCCCCCGCCGGGAGGGGGGGGGGGGGCGACCCCCCCCCCGGGTCAGATACGACGCCCCCCCCTGGGACTCCTCTTCCCCTGGGCTCCAGCCAAGCCGACCTTGAGCAACCTCGTAATTGAGTCGAAGGGAAGCCCCTTCCCTTTGATCCCTCCCCCGCCGGGAGGGGGGGGGGGGTGTCGACCCCCCCCCCGGGTCAGATACGACGCCCCCCCCTGGGACTCCTCTTCCCCTGGGCTCCAGCCAAGCCGACCTTGAGCAACCTCGTAATTGAGTCGAAGGGAAGCCCCTTCCCTTTGATCCCTCCCCCGCCGGGAGAGGGGGGGGGGGGGGTCGACCCCCCCCCCGGGCAGATACGACGCCCCCCCCTGGGACTCTTTCCCCTGGCTCCAGCCAAGCCGACCTTGAGCAACCTCGTAAATGAGTCGAAGGGAAGCCCCTTCCCTTTGATCCCTCCCCCGCCGGAGGGGGGGGGGTGTCGACCCCCCCCGGGTCAGTACGACCCCCCCCCGACCATCTTTCCCCTGGGCTCCAGCCAAGCCGACCTTGAGCACCTCGTAATTGAGTCGAAGGGAAGCCCCTTCCTTTGATCCCCCCCCCGCCGGGCGGGGGGGGGGGGGTCGACCCCCCCCCCGGGTCAGATACGACGCCCCCCCCTGGGACTCCTCTTCCCCTGGGCTCCAGCCAAGCCGACCTTGAGCAACCTCGTAATTGAGTCGAAGGGAAGCCCCTTCCCTTTGATCCCTCCCCCGCCGGGAGGGGGGGGGGGTAGCGACCCCCCCCCGGGTCAGATACGACGCCCCCCCCTGGGACTCCTCTTCCCCTGGGCTCCAGCCAAGCCGACCTTGAGCAACCTCTAATTGAGTCGAAGGGAAGCCCCTTCCCTTTGATCCCTCCCCCGCTGGGAGGGGGGGGGGTAGCGACCCCCCCCGGGTCAGATACGACGCCCCCCCCCCCTGGGAGTCCTCTTCCCCTGGGCTCCAGCCAAGCCGACCTTGAGCAACCTCGTAATCTCTTGCTGCGCATTGCGAACAGGGTCGGCGGCACCGGCCGTCAGGCCTTCGCAATCTTGTTTTCCTTACTTCTGGCATACAGAACTGCTCCCGCACCTTCGACGCCCTCGAGCCTTCCACGCTGGTTACATAGTTTGCCAAGACGTTGGGCTCGTTCACAAGTGCCGTACCCTGCCACGAGTACTTGTGGCCCCCGCGTTCGCGGGCCCGGTAGCGAGTCGAGTCTCTTGACATACCCTTGCGAATTGGCGAAGCCTGCTCCCGCCAATCGCATTCGCAATCGCGGCGCATGCGCCTGCAACTCAATTTCTTTCTGCCCCGCAACGAATACCACCCCAAACCGTGGGTTGAGGCCCCCCATCCTGTCCGAATTCTCCTCGGCGGTTGCCGCCGTTGCCGTCGCCCCTGCCCTCGCCTACGCCGCCGCGCCCGATCGGCCGAACCCTCGCGCTGAGATGGGCTGCCTAGTGGACACTAGGGGCCAAGAGAAAGTGGCCAACATATGGACATGAATATGAAATTGTGGCCTCGCAGGCCGCGCTGAAGCTGGGCGCTTTGGCAACTGGCCCCAGATGTGAGGTGGCTGCCGCGCCAACGTTTGCCAACATGGCTACTGGCATGGCACATGACTGCAACGGTTGATCACGCTTACGATGCTGAGTAACGGCGGTGGTGGTGATGATGATGGTGTGGGTCACGATGGGGGTGGTGATGATGATGACGATGACGGTAATGTTGCGGATGACGGTGATGGCGGTGACGATGATGATGCCGCTGCTGGCGGCAACTACGACGATAACAACGGCAACGGCGACGATCACGTCAATGATGATGATGATGATGAAGTTGGATTCGTTCAACTCCCACGTGAGCTTCCTGCGCAGCTCAGGTGCAAGCCAACGACCAGAACACCCTGAACTCGGACCAACGGGCCACCAAAAGACTTCGGCCAACAACCTCTGTGTCTAAACGCGCCACACGAGCATGTACAACATGGAGAACGCGGGGTTCTACGGCACTGGCCCCGGAGCGCAACCCCTGGCCCAAGGAGCCAAAAGACTCCAGGAGGGTCAGGCGCTCGAAACCCTCGACGGCTGGCTGGCCTCAAGGCGCCGTTCACGTCGCGCGACGTGGAAATTAACACAAGTTCAGCGACAGGCCCTCGAAACCAGCATTGCCTTTCGCGAGCATGAGCCGTTCGGGCATCAGCTCGTCCCATTCGTTCATGATGAATACGTGTCGCACGTGAATGATGTCTTGATGTCGTTGCGTTTTTATTGGATTCGGACAGGTCGCGAGGTGCCCGCCGTGGCACGAAGAGCAGCGCGCGGAACACCAACTGCCGCATCGACGCTGAAGTGCTTCGCGGACAGGTGGTCTTCCCAGTTGTTTGACAAGGGCTTATAGAAAGATCGTGCTCCTTGTTGGCCGCGCGCTCGCATCCGCAGCGGCCTGTTCTTGTTGAGCGGCCCCCATTCGTGAGGAACCTCTGGGACATTCGTGGCTACAGTTGTCTGGTCCTCCTTCTGTTTCTCTTCGTCGATATCCTCTATGTGGGGCTCGTCGCCTTCTTTCCCCTCGTCCTTCTTTTTATTCTCCTCACCCTCGGCGTCCATGACCTCCTTCCCCTTTGACTTCATGGGTTTCCAATGAACTCCAGGTGCTTCTTGACCAAAAAGATCAGACGGCGCTCCTCCGAAAACATAATCTTGGTGCCGCGCTTCATGCCACCGTGCACAATCTCTGTCCTTTTGCACCGCAAGGGAGTCGTCGGACCCAAACTCCCGAATGTGCTGCTCGACGTCATTGTTCTTGCTGGTCACGTGCGCTTTGTCCGATACGAGATCATGCGATCACGCAGAGTCGAATCCGGTCGTTGCCCGATCACAGATATCTCACCGCCAACTGCCGCTGCCTCCATGAAGGCCTGGGTGCCATGGACTTGGCGATGGTGCCGAGGTTGTTGATCATCACGTTCATGGTCATGCCATCTTGTGAGCGGCCGGTTTTCTTCCTCGAGGCTCAAACATCATCATGTGAAAGTGTTGGTCCGCCCCATTGACCCGAATGCTCTCGCAAAAGAGACCGATGCCGCGCTGTTAGAAGGGCCTGCGCGACACGGCAGCGCTATGATGATGGTGGTGATGATGATGATGATGATGATGATGATGATGTTGGTGGTGGTGATGATGTGGGGCGCGTGGCTTGTTCATGGGCGTGTGGGTGCCCAGAGCATCAAAAACAAACCCACTGTGGATGAGGAAAAATATCGTCGCCAACAAGCCTCCGTCCTGCTTCTCCCACTTGAGGAGGAGGGAAGGAGAAAGGAAGATGATGATGATGATGCTGATGATGATGATGACGATGATGATGAAGAGGAGGAGGAGGAGCAGGAGGAGGGGGAATGCTCGATCCTCGATCTCATCCCTGAAGAGAGGGAGGGCTCTGCCTTTGCGCAAGCAAGGGACAAGGCCACGAGGTCCCCCTCGCCGCTGCGCGCTGAGAGGATACTAGAGCGTCCTGCGGGGGCCGCTGTCGCTGGTGGAGGCGGGGACGGGAGAAAGGGGATGGAACGGGACAAGGAGGATCGAGGAGGCAGAGGAGAAGGAGAGACGAGGGTGAATGATGATGATGCTGATGATGATGATGATGATGAGGAGGAGGAGGAGGAGCAGAAGGAGGGAAGAGGAAGGGGACAGGGGAGAGATGAGGGGGGAGGGGGACGAAGAGAAGGACGATGAGGAGGCATTCCTCCTCATCATGCCACTCCTCTTCTGCCTTCTCCTCGCCTCTTTCTTCCTCCCACTCCCCATCCCCCTCCCCCGCTTTCATTATGCTTCTCTTCCTCCTTCTCCCCTGTCCTCCACCCCTCCGCCTCTTCCGCCTACCCCTGCCCCTACCTCTCTCCACCTCCCCATTCTCCTCCTCGGCCTCCTTCTTCTCTCCGTCGTGGTCCGTCTCCTCCTTCTCTTCACCCCCGCCTCCCCTTCCTCGCCCTCCTCCTGGAATTTCCCTCCTCGAGGAGACGCCGAACGACGCCGCATGACGACAACGACAAAGAAGGCCGAACGCCAGAAGACGACGAAATCGATGTCGTGTCGATCGTCGCGGGTCGGACATCAACGTCGACGGCGACGACCGCGGACGGAGACGACGATTAACGACGTCGAAATCGACCGACGTCGTTGCTGACGGCGGCGGCACATTGACGACGACATCGTCGTCGACCGCAGACCACCAATCAGCAAAGTTGCCGTCCGGGTCGAACGTCAAAGTCGAGCACAACGACGACATCGGACGAAGGCCTGTCCAGAGCCCATCCCAACGAGCATCTCAAGGCGGACCCGGCCGCGGCAATGAGGACGCCCTTCCAGGGTCGAAAACATCCGGCACGTCTAAAAATCTCCATCTTCTGGGGAGACGTACATCTCGGGTACTGCGGACTCGGATTGGCTTGACGGGGCCATCGTGAAAATGACGAGACTCAATCTTAAATTTGACGCGGGCTCCCGCTGCAAACATCCCACGAAAGCAGGACCGGAAAAATCCTGGGCCGGGCTCGTCAAAACGCGAAGGCGAACCCAAGTTCTGGCGTACTCGAGTCTTACGTTTCCCCGAATCTTCTCAATTACCTCGACCTCGATCGAAATCGACGCCCACGCCCGACGATCGAGGACGACTGGCTCGGACGACGACGCACGACGAGGATCGACGACGAGGAGCGACCACTGACGACCACCGGCGATGGCGACGTCCGCCCGGCGACGGCTGGTGACAGACGATGGCGACCGACGGCCACCAACGACGGCCGACAGTGAATGATGACGGCGGCGGCAACAAAGCCGACAGCCGACGACGTGGACGCCGCGGTCGGATCGACGTGGAATGCCACGGCAACGACGACAACCGACGACGATTGCGACCGACGAACGACAACAACTTGGGGGATCAAAAGATACTAATATCGGGGAGACGTAAGACCCGGGTACGGGGGACTCGGAAATCCCCGACGAGGTCGTCAAAAAAATGACGAGGCCGAGCCTGCATTTTGACGAGGCCTCCCGCTGCAGACATCCCACGAAACTCCTCCTCGTCAAAATCCGAGTCGCGGTCGTCAAAAAACGATGGCGAACCCGAGTCCCGGCAAACCCGGGTCTTACGCTCCCCCGATAATAGCGCCGCTCGCTACTCCCGGGACCAATACTCCCTGCGGGAGGTAATTCAGTACAAGACCCCCTGCGGGAGTCAATATCGACCCGCCTCAGGGGAAACAACAAAACGATGCCGCTGCCCCACGTACCTCTGCCGGTGCGCGTCCAGACCAAGAATTCGAGGCGAGTCCATCCGTGGTGACGAAGGGCGCGAGGCGGTGCCGGTAACTACTGGTTACTCATCTGATCCCTGGAGCCACTTGAAGAACCGAACTTTATACACCGATGCTTTTTTTTCCGGTCCCGCAATGAGACCCGCACAAGAAAACGGATTCTGGTGTATACGGCATCCTGGTGTATAGTTTTTGCTGCTGTTTCCACGGGGAAAGGGGGGAAAAAAAATACACCACACCACCCCGACGTCGTCCCCGACCCTCAAAATTCCTGGGATTGAGAAACAGCCCGCCACTGGCAATGTATACGTTCCAGTTTCCGACCACTGGCCAACCTTCCGAGGCGTGCTGGTCGACGGAACCTGGCTGGAGACGGCAGCGGCGGCGACGGGCGTCCAGAAGCCACGCTGCGGGCCCCCAGCGACGCCCTGGCCCTGCACGGGCTCGGGGCTGCCCAAACCGCATCAGTGGCGGCGTCGCCCTTCCGAGGGAGGTCGTCGTCGTCGTCGTCGTCGTCGCCGTCTCCGCCGCCGTCGGCGCCGCCAGCGTCGGCGTCGGCGTCGGCGTCGGCGTCGGCGTCGGCGTCGGCGTCGCCGCCGTCGGCGTCGGCGTCGGCGTCGGCGTCGGCGTCGGCGTCGGCGTCGGCGTCGTCGTCGTCGTCGGCGTCGTCGTCATCTTCTCTGCCTCCGTCGCCGACCGATGGCCGTCGGTGCTCGAATATCCCAAAGGCTATTCGGCGCCCCGTGGCCTGGCGCAGGACCCAGCCATGTGGAGTTGAGAATGCGGTCGCTGGTAGTATCGCCTTCGGTGGACCTCCTTGTGGGGCCACGAAGCGAATGAAAGGTGTGCCGAAATGGGGCGGGGCCGCCGTGCGGGCGCTGCTGCTGGGGCCTGATGTGGAGCCCCTTTTCTGGGCCACAGAATGTGTGAGGGATGCGCCGAGATGAGGCGGGGACGCCGTGCGGGCGCTGCCACTGGGGCCTTCGGTGAAACTCCTTGTGGGGCCAGGAAGCGTGCGAGGGGCGAGCGGCGATGATGGCGATGATAATAACGATGCGCAGGACCTTAGGTGGAGCTCCCCATGGGGCCACGAAACGTGTGAGGGATGTGCCAAAATGGGGCGGCGCCGCCATGCGGACTGCGCCACTGGGACCTCAGGTGGAGCTCCCTATGGTGCCACGACACGTGTGAGGGCTGTCAAAAAATGGTGCGGCGCCGCCATGCGGACTGCACCGCTGGTACTTTAGGTGGAGCTCCTTATGGGGCCATGAAACGTGTGAGGTGTGCCAAAATGGAGCGGCGCCGCCATGCGGACAACGCCACTGGGACGTAAGGTGGAGCTCCCCATGGGGCCATGGAACGTGTGAGGGGTATACCAACATAGGGCGGCGCCGCCATGCGGACTGCGCCACTGTGACGTAAGGTGGAGCTCCCGATGAGGCCACAAAAAGTGTGAGGGGTGTGCCAAAATGGGGCGGCGCCGCCATGCGGACTGCGCCACTGGGAACTTCGGTGCAGCTCCCTATGGGGCCACGAAACGTGTGAGGGGTGTGCCAAAATAGGGCGGCGCCGCCATGCGGACAGCGCCACTGGGACCTCAATTAGGTGGAGCTCCCTATGGAGCCACGAAGCGTGTGAGGGGTGTGCCAAGAGGGAGGGAGGGAGGAGGGGATGAGGAGGAGAGGAGAGAGGAGAGGAGAGGAGCGCGGGGACCGTCTCTGCAAAACGATGACCCCACACCACAGGATGGTTGGGAAACACAAAGAAACCTCATACTTCGATCCTGAGGGGCAGCGACAGGGGAGGACCGGCTGAGGGGGGGAGGCAACCGACAAGGAAACGGCGGTACATCGCCGATAGAACGGCGATAGACACACGATAGCGCATCCGCACGCATCCGAGCGGGGTGGCCATCGGGCCCCCTGTCGGCAATCCATGGTCGATCGGGGGTCGATGCGTCCTTCTCTGCGCCTATCTCCCCCCAGCACTGCCTTTGACCTTCCGCTCCCCGGTTTTCGGGTCATAACTCGGGCCTCTGGCGGCCGTTCGAGACGATCCGGGCACCCGCGGAACGGTCTCGGCAAGGCGCAGCTGCTGGAACTCACCCCGAGGCTGAAGAGCCGACGAGAACCCACGAAAACGTCGGAAAACCTCGGACGTCGAACCCGATCCCTCCCTACCGCTGCCACTGAGATCCTGTGGCACGGAGCGGCGACCCCTCCCCGAGGCAGCCTTTTCCCCACCGAGGCGGCCGCACGCCATCGCAGCGCTACCCGCGCGCGCGCGCTCCCGCCCCCCTGGGGCAGCGCCCCGGGCTGGCCTGCACGGCTCCCGCCGCGCGGCCCGTGCCGCAACGTCTGCGGCGACGGCGGACGACGACGACGACGACGACGACGACGACGACGCCGACGCCGACGACGACGACGACGACGACGACGGACGCCTGACGACGGACGATGACGACGACGACGGCGACGGTCAACGACAATAGACGACGAGAACGATGACGAAGACCATGGCGACCAACGACCAACGACGACGAATACGACGACGACGACGACGACGACGACGACGACGACGACGACGACGATAGACGTCGACGATAGACGTCGAAGGAGGGCGAGACGATGCGAGACGCTGCTGGTGCTTGCCAGAGCCCTGCCCTGGCAAGAGCGCAGCGGGAGAGCCGCAACCCCTCAGATGCCGTGGTGCTCGTGCTTGGACTTCCTTCGATGCCCCAAACGAAGATCGCACCTGGGACTTCCCACGTGGGATCCTACGCAGTCGGATTGGGCCTCTGGGGCCACGCCACGGCGCTGCCCTTTGCCGCCCGTGGACGCCCCGTGCGCCGTGGAGCTGCTGAAGGTTCGCCGCATGGCCGCCCGTGGCTGGCCGTGAACGCCTCGTGGGCGCCATGCGAGGAGGTCGAGGAGGAGGAGGAGGAGGAGGAGGAGGAGGAGGAGGAGGAGGAGGAGGAGGAGGAGGCAGGGAAGGGGAAGGCGTTGCGCGGGGGCCAGTGAGGGCGGAGGAGGCGCCAGGAGGCACCGGACGCTGCGCCCTGGCTGCTCCTGGATGTGCGCGGCGGCCGGGCCTGCCGAGGCCTCGCCGAGCGGCCTCGCCACGCGAGGGCGCCACGCAGCCGGCACTGCAGCGGCGTCCGCGGGGACGGCCCCCGCGGCCTCCAGGGGGCGCCCCCAAGCCAGCCTCGGGACGGCCCCGAGAGGGCACAGGGCCAGCCCAGGGGGGGCCTCCAGGGGGCTCTCATGCGACCACACGGGGCCCCTCGACGGACAAGACGACTCCGAAACGACCCCGCGACGGCCCCCAGAGACCCCCTAGTTAGACTTAAGTCGGGCGTGCCCCCCTGCGGGGGATGTTCGACGAGAACTAAAACATACGCAAACAGTGCTCCCAAATGGTCAGGAAAAATACCCCAAATCATAGTCACCATACTATTTCTTTTGACGATCTTTGGATATTCCCCCTGTAGAGGGACAGGCCCGACTTAAAGCCTGCACTGCGCAGCTTGCACCGCACAGGCTTCAGACAAACACACACACACAGCTCACAACACATAGACCATGTACCATACACATCCACCGTGCGATGATTCACTGACTGCGGTCCACTCTGGCAGACAATTCAACGCAGGAACTATGACATATGCAACAAGGGTCAATCTCGCCCCGCAAAGAAGGTATGTAGTCACCCGGATGCTACTCGGCATAGTCTGGGCAGCTTGCACATGAGCTCTGTGAACTAATATTCCTGACTCGGACCCACACCTATCATGAGACTTGCCACATGCCCTCCGCCAGAGAGAACAACGGTGACTACATTCAAAGCACTGCGTCATGCTATTGATTGAAACGCTTCTTTCATAGTGATCTGGGAAGATTGACTTACAGCCAGCAAGGTGTGGCTGGAATGAATTGAAGACCAAATCGATACTTTGTCACGTCGTTGTAATTCCAGCGCGCCCCAATTTCTGTTTGAATGCCCGCTGTGGTAGAATCCATTGTGGCCTGCCTGCGTTTCCCAAATCAACTCTGCCGCTTCACCAAGCGGGCACACTCCTACATTTGACCGTCACTGTTGTCCCATCTGCATTGATGGTTTCCCCCTCCTGCACCGCAATCTGTGGACGGTCGGGCACGTGAAACGCTTGTTCCTCCAATACGTCAGGTTCACCCTGGACACATCGATGACACTCTCGACGTGCTCGAACCTGAACGATGGCGTCACAAGATGGCGACGGCGACTTCGCACTCATCGACGACGGCGAGCTCTGCGCCAACAGACGCGACGACGACGAGGCCGCCGACGACGAGGGCGACTCCAAGACGAACTCCGCGACGGCGACGCCGACGGCGACGCCCGGCGGGCGCGCGCCGGCGGCCTCACGGGGGCGTCCGCGTGGGCGGGGAGGGCCCGGAAGTGGCTGCACTCGAGCCTCCGCCCCGGGCGTCGGCGGGGCACCGCCGTCGACGCCGACGATCACGGCGACGCGAGGCCGAGCACGGCACCAGCGACAGCGACGACGAAACGGACGAGGACGGCGAGGGCGACGACGAGATCGACGATGTAGGCAGCGACAGAGGCACCGACACGGACGACGACGATGACGACGACGATGACGACGACAACGACGACGACAGAACGACGACGACGACGACGACGACGACGACGACGACGACGACGACGACGACGACGACGACGGCCCCTGGGAAGCGTCCGAGAGGCCTCTGCGAGGCCCATGGGGGCTTCCAGAGGACTGCCCTAGGACCTCTGGAAACGACGGCGGCGGCGGCGGAGGTGGCGACGACGACCACGATGACAGTCGTACGAGGGTGAGGCGGAGATCGCGAAGGAGGTGGGGGGAGGGGGATACGGGGGAGTGGATAAGGGGACAACGGCGGCGGCGACAATGGCGGACAACCTCGTTCCAGCAGTAGGGCGGAGGTGCAGCCATCGTGCTCTTGCAAGGAACGCTGAGCAAAGAACGACGGGGCTTTCCTGGCCACGGCGACCCTCGGCAACGAATAGGCCCCCCGACCTAGACTTCAGAACGGCCCGAAACGCGGAGCCCCTTTCCGAGCCCAGACTTGTCCGTATTTCAGCGTCTCACCTGCTGGAGGGAAGAGGAGGGAGGAGGTGGAGAAGAATGAAGATCCAACTTTGGCGAAGAGGGTGGAGATGAGCAGGGCGCTCCTCCGCATCCGCCCACTTGTTCCTGCCCCCGACCGCCGGGCAAACCCCCCTTTACTCCTCTTGCCCAACATCCTCCCCCCCTTCTGCGCCTCCCTCTCACGTCTTATCCCCGGCAAGAGCCGTCTCCTCCTCCACCCCCCTCCTTCCGCCGCTCCTCCTGTTCCCGTTCTCCTTCGAATCCCCTTCCCCATTCTCCTTCCTCCTCCCTCCTCCCCTCTTCCCCTTCGACCTTTTCCTTCTCCTCCTCCTCCTCCTCCTCCTCCTCCTCCTCCCCTCCTCGTCCTCCTTCTTTTCCTCCTCCTCCTCCTACTGCTGCTCCCCCTCCTCCTGCTCCATTCCCTTTCCTCACAAATAACTCCTCCCTGCCTCACCCCGAGACGTGTCGATGGGGCGGGCTGGGCGTTTCCCCTGATACATCCCCACCTCATGACCCTTGAACTTAACACTTACAACAGCTTCACGGATGGAGGGCAGGTCGCTTTGAAAATGTGGCTCTCGCCTTAGCACATTCGTCTCAAAACATGGCAAGCATTTCACGGATGGATGGCGGGCCGTTTACAAAATGTGGCTCTCGCCTTAGCGCCGAATAAATTCGTCTCAACTATTGGCCATACTTTGCCGGATGGAGGTCGGCTCATGTTCAATATGTTGCTCTCGTCTTGGCGCTGCGTACATTCGTCCTAAAGGTTTTCAAGGGTTTGACGGATGGAGGGCGGCTCCTTTTCAACTTTGCTCCTTTTCAACGTTGCTCTCGTCTTAAGAGTTCGCAGCACTTTCAAAGGTTATTACTGTTCACATCCTGGAAGTTGCGTGGTGGCAAGATGTAGAACTGTAGGGTCGCATCAATCACGTGTGCTGGCGATGCTCAGGAGCGGCTTTTTGGCACGATTCAGGATCGTCAGAACGCAACAGTGATGTTGACTCGCGACGTTGAAGTCCAAGGAACAATGTCTTGGCACGGTTCAGGATTTCCAGACGGTTGTCTTCCAACGGGGCACTTCCCTCAGCACATACAAACCATTGTGGGGGTATACGAAAGGGGGCACATGGAGGGTTCATTCCAACATCGTTGGTGGGTGTTGGGTTTACACTGGTCCCCTTTCTCCTCCTCCTCCTCCTCCTCCTCCTCCTACTCCTCCTCCTCATCCTTTCACCACTCCTTCTCCTCCTCTTCCTCCTCCTCCCCCTCCTCACATCCTTCATCACCACAACCATCACCATTCTCGTAATCGCCCTCCTCATCGTCACTTTCATCCCCTTCCAATTTCCTGCTTCTTCGCTTTCCCCCCCTGCTGCTCCTCCTCCTCCTCCCCCTCCTCCTCCTCCTCCTCCTCGTTCTCGACGTCGTCGTCCTCCTCCTCCTCGCTCATCCCTCTCTTCACATGGCGAGGAGGAGAAACGGCAGGAGGAGCAGGAGAAACACGAGCCGGAGCGGGGGGGGGCGACCTGCCCTGTGCCGCGATCCTGGCGAGCACTCCGCGGGGCGGAGGCGGCCGCGGCCGCGAGAGCGGCGCCCCCCCCCAAAAGGCCCCCGAAGTGCCCCAAGGACCGTGGAGTCCTCACACATCGACGGCGACGCCGCGAAGGCTCTCCAGGGCCCCCGGATGTGCCCCAACGACCCTCAAACCCTCGAACCCTCGCACCGCGACGACGACGACGACGAGGACGCCGAGGACTGCGAGGACGAGGACGTTGAGCAGGAGGAGGAGAAGGAGTGGTCAGAGGGCGAGTCGGAGGAGGAGGAGGAGGAGGAGGAGAGATGGAGGAGGACGTCGACGAAGGCCTCTCGCCGCGCAGGTTCTGCAGCTGGATGTCCTCGCGGCAGTACCTCCCCTCCGCGTCCGGTATCCTGGGCGGCCAGACGAGAGTCGGGACACGAACGGGGAGGATGACGACGAGGACGAGGAGGACCAGCGGGAGCGACGAGGACGACACGGACCGCGAGGTCCCCGTAGGCCCGCAGAGGCTCCCTGGCGCCTCGGCAGGCCCCCGTGGCAAGTGCAGGGAGGGCAGGGCAGCGCAGCAGAGCCTCGCGGCCCTCGGGGGGCGAGACAAGACAAGACTTAAGTCGGGCCTGTCCCCCTACAGAGGGAGTTTCGACGAAAAATTCGCCGGCCCAACGGGCCAGAGGCGTGCTAAGATCTCCGGTAACTGGTTAACAATTTTCTAGTTCGCGCGCGCGGGGCGGCCCCTGGGGGTCCCCGGACGAAAAGTACCCCGACCAGGTCCCGGCCGGTCCCGGCCGGGTCCCGGCCGGGTCCCGGCCGGGTCCCGGCCGGGTCCCCCCGAGCGCTCCATGAGCGCACCAACAGGGCTCCGAGACGTCCCCGAGAGCCCCAAGAAAGGCCAAGAGGCCCCCAAGAGGCCCCCAAGATGGTACACGAGGGGTCCGACATGCCACAAGATCGCTCCAAGACGCCCAAGATAGCCCCCAGACGCCCCAAGAGGCCTCCAAGAGCACTCCCAATAGGGCCCCCGGAGGCAAAAATCATTGTTTTTCCATAGGTTTTTGAGAGATTTTGGAGCTTCCACCTTTTCGGCTTCCCGACGCCCCAAGACGGCCCAAGAGGCCCCCAAGATCGCCCCAAGAGGGCCCAAGAGGCACCCAAGAGGGCCCCAAGATGGCCCAAGAGGGCTCGAAGACGGCCCAAGAAGCCTCCAAAACGGTCCAAGAGGGCCCCAAGAACGCCCCCAAAGGGGCCCCAGAGAGGGAACACGAAACAACATTTCGAGCCCTCGGCCCTAAGAAGCCCCTACGAGGCCCCTAAGAGGCCCCAAGAGGCCCCCACGGGGCCCTCAGGAGGCCCCCAAGAGTCCCCCAAGCGGCCCCAGGAGGCCCCCCAAATGCCCCCCCGAGCGCCCCAGGAGTGCCCCAAGCGGCCCCAGGAACCCCCAAAGCGCCGCATTGACACCAGGCCCTCGGGCAAACGGCAGACATGAGACTGTATGGGCCGGCGGAATGAGCGAAGCGATTAAATAAAAAGTACACCAAAAATGGTCAAAAAAATACTATGGGAACTATTTTTGGGTTTTGGTTTTACCTTTTCGGGGTACTTTTGGGGTTTTCTTTATTTTTTCGTCGAAAATCCCCCTGTGGGGGGACACGCCCGACATAAGACAAGACAAGAAATACATCGCCGTGGCCGCGGTGCTCTGGATGACGATGGCGAGGGGGAGGGGAGGGGCGAGAAGAGAGGAGGGGTGGAGGGGCCTTGGGAGGACAAATTCGCGGTTCTCTGGATGACGATGGCGAGGGGGAGGGGAGGGGCGAGAAGCGAGGAGGGGTGGAGAATGGTGCGCATCGTCCCCTGCACTCGTCGTGTCGTCCTGATTCGCGTCGCCCTCATCATCGATCTCGATCTTGACCTCAATATCCTCCTCCTCCTCCTCCTCCTCCTCCTCCTCCTCGTGCCGTCCTGCTCGGTGTCCTCTTCTTCTTCTTCCTCCTCCTCCCCTCCTCCTCCTCCTCCTCCTCCTCCTCCTCCTTCTCCTCGTCCTATGTCGCCAACATTATTGGCAAAGAGCGGACAGGAGAATTCGCTCCCCTGGCCCCCGCTGTCGCCCTCGTCGTCCTCGTTGCCGCCGCCGCCGCCGCCGCTGGTGGCCATATCTGACAGCAATGCCGTCGGCTGTCGCCACGGCGCCGTCGTCCCCGTCCGACCAGAACTGAACCCCCAAGCACGTCCACCCTGGCAGGTTTCCCAAGCCGCGCCAAGCCGTGGCGACTAGGACCTCCAGGAACCCCCAACAGCATCTGAAACGAAGGCGTCGGCGCCGCCGCCGCCGTCGTGTATGTAGCGTCAGCCTCGGCGTCGTCCGTCTTCTTGTCGTCGTCGTCATCGTCGTCGTCATCGTCGTCGCCACCGCCGCCGCCGCTGCCGTCGGTCGCAGCCGCCGCCACCGTCTTCGTCGTCGTCTTCGTCGTCGTCGCCGCCCGAAGGCTGTCCTGAACGCCTTCGGGCCCAGCTCGTCGACGGTGTACTCCGCCCTGCGGGCTGGCCAGCGGGGCGGCGGCCCACGACGACGACGCCGACGAGGACAGGACAAGGACGAGGACCAGAACGACGAACGACGACGACGACGACGACGACGACGACGACGACGACGACGACGACGACGACGACGACGACGACGACGGCGGCGGCGGCGGCGGCGGCGGCGACGGCGACGCGACAGTGACGGCGACGGCGACGGCGACGGCGACGGCGACGACAGCGACGGCGGCGGCGACGACGACGACGGCGGCGGTGGCGGCGGTAAAGCAGATGACGGCGACGGCAGCGACGACGACGGCTCCTGGGAAGCGTCAGAGAGGCATCTGGTTGCACCTGGGGGCCCCCAGAAGACTGCCCGAGGGCCTCCGGAGTCGACGTCGGCGTGGGCGGAGACGGCGACGACGACCGCGAGGGCAGTTTTACGAGGATGAGGACGAGAACGCAACGGCGGTGGGGTTGACAAGGGGAGTGGAGATGGGGAGCAGAACAAAAGGGCGGGGTGATTTAAATCTAATTCACCCGGATTTGAATTCACCCGTTTCGACTCGCCCGCTTGGATTCATTCGTTTTGCAAGCACCCGTTTTGGCTCATCCAACTTCACTTCGCCCAAATTTAACTTCACACGGTTTCATTCGCCCAAACTTGAACTTACCCAATTTTAGGACGCCTGCGTTGGATCTCGTCCGTTTCGATTCGCCCGCTTTGATTCGTCCGTCTTGGAACCGCCGTGCTCCGATTCGCCCGGCGTCGGTTCGCCGGGCTTCGATACTCCCGTCCACATTCGCCCGTTGAAACTCATCCTGCTGTAATTCGCTTGCGTTTGAAGTCATCCGCTATGAAGCCGTCACCGTGATGTTCCCCCTCCTTTTGTTGTCATTGTTATTATTACTATTATTACTATTATTATTATTATTATTATTATTATTATTATTATCATCTTCAATACCATCAACACACACTTAAACATTATCTCTTTAGGCACATCATTTTGCTTGTTTCAATTTATTACGTCCGGGTTTAAATTCACTCGCTTCGATTCGCCCTTTGAGTCACACGCTGCAGGATGGCCCCGTTCCGCCGGGCCTCGCCGCGTCGCTGATGCGCCTGTTCCGCCAGGGAATAAACCCACCCGATTTCCATTCTCGCCCGGTGTCGCTTCGCCCGCTGTCGGGTCTTCCTCGGGGGGTCCGGAACGGCCGAAACGAAGGATTGCAAAAAAACCTTCGGGGCGAAGGATTGCAAAAAAACCAAGGATTGCAAAAAAACCCTTCGGCAATCCTTCGGCGCGGATCAGACGTGGGCGAGACACGCGCAAAGGAATCAAACGCGGACGAAACCGGGCCAGGCGGATGCAACCAAGCCAGGCGAAGCCACAACGAGCGAACATAATGCGGATGAAACAAACCAGACGACACAAAAAACGGATGAAACCAAAGCGGATGAAACAGAACGGGGTGAAACCAGCACCAGCGAAAGCCAACAGGCCCAAAAGGTCCACGGTGAAACCGAATGAGCCTGCTTCCTTTGCTGCAGAACCATTTGGATAACGTTGCGGGCGCTTGCCCGCGACCGCACTCGGGGTCCTGCTGTGCCCAAGGAGGCGCAGCGGCAGAAAGCCCCCCGCCTCCTCGCCAGCTCGGCAGGCCACGCCGACGACCACGAGTGTGAGCACGTCAGCGACGACAACGAAGAGGCCCCCGAGGCGCCCCCAAGCAAGCCCAGAGGCCTCCAAGCAGCCCCACGCAAGAAGCCCGCGAGAGTCCGAAGAGGTCCCTGGCCCAAGGAGCCTTCGAGCGCTCCCAAAGAGCCCAGGCCCCCGAGGGGCATTCCTGAAAAACCCTACTGTTTCGAAGCTCTCGTCGAGCACTCTACCTGCTGGCGTGGGCCCCAGTCCTGGCCAGGCCGCCGGAACAGACAAAATGGTAACGGCTCACCGTGCTGACACGCGTCCTGATGTGAACGAAAACAAAGCAACGCATGTGTTTGAAGAGGGGGTGTCATTCAAACGAAGTTCGCTGTCTTTCCCATGTCAGGCTTGCTCAAGGAGATCTGGAACAAACATGCTGTCTGGTGTTAACTGACAGGCGACGGCAACAGCAACGGCGACGGCGACATCACGGCCTCTGGCTGAGGGAGGGAGGAGGGGGAGTGTCAGTAAGGAGAGGAGGGAGGGAGGCAAGAAGGAGAAGCATCTCGGGAGAGGCGATTAGGCCTCCGAGCCCCTCCGACATCGCCGAGAGCCTCCGAGTGCCGCCGAATGCCTCCGACGGCTTACGATGGCCGTCGACGCCACCGAGGACCGCCTAAGGCCGCCCAAGGCCGCCAAGTGCGCGAGTTTCGCCGAGGGTCTGCTCGTCGTCGTTCTTCTCGGGACTCTCGCTGCACACTTCTGTTTGCTCAGTTGCCCAAATTTCCCTCGTCGCCGTCCTTGTAACTAGAAGCACCGACGGCAACTCATTTCGAAGACGAGGCTCTTGCCTGACATGCAAGGTCTTGGGGCGCTCGTCTTTTAGAGGGGCACACAATGGCACGGAATTGCTCAAGTGGCCCATGAGCAAGGGACTTAGGACAGTTAGGTAGATTGCATCATCGTTCATGAATCGGATCTATGGCTCTTCTTCTCCTCCTCCTCCTCCTTCTCCTCCCGCCCGCAGGAGGGGAGAACCCGACGAGTCCGAAACTCTCAAGGGGAGACTCTCCCGGGAGAACCCTTTATCATCCTGCCTGGGCCTGACGCACCCAGGCGGGGCCAGCGACGCGCCCCCCCGAGGAAAAACGAGCAGCAAAAGTGTGGACGAGGACCAGGGAGGACGAACCTGCGGCATGGCGAAGGGAAACACGAGGATCGGATCGGATATCTGGCCATGAGGGGAACGACGACGCCGACGCGTCGTCCGAGCAATCGTCCGTCGTCGTCGTGTGGCCGTCGCCGTCATCGTCATCGGTCTCCGCTGCCGTCGTCCTCGTCCTCGTCGCCGCCGTCGCGAAGTCGGCGTCCTCGGTCACCCCGCTCGGGCGGCCGCGCGCGCGCCGCCGCGCCTGGGCGGGCGGATGATCATCTTCCAGAGGACGCCGAAGGGGTCGAGGCGGCGCCTGTGGGTGGGGGTCGGGCGCCTCGTCGGTCAGCTCATCTGGGGCCTCCCTCCTCCTCCTCCTCCTCATCCTCGTTCTTTTCCTCCTCCTATTGTTCCTCTTGTTCCTCCTCCGTTTCCTCCTCATCCTTATCCTCCCCCTTTCTCCTCCTGCTCTTCCTCCTCCTCCTCATCGTTGTTATTGTCCTGTTCCTCCTCCTTCTCTTCCTGTTCCTCCCTTCCTTGTTCATTCATTGTTTTGTGCCCTCGCACCGCGAGGCAAGTCGACAGGGCGGGCTGGGCGGTTCGCCTGAAATTTCCTCGCCACTGATGGCCCTGAAGCTTAAACATTGGCAACAGCTTCGCGGATTGAGGGCCAGAGGTTTTCAACATGTGGCTCTCGTGGAAGCGCCGCGCACACACTCGTATTGAACATGTGCAAATGCTTCGCATATTAAGGGCTGGTGGTCTTCAACACGTGGTTCGCGCATCAGCGCCGCGCACATTCGTTTGAGTTGTTGCAAACGTTTCACGGATTGAGAGCGGGTGGTAATGTGGCTCTCGCCTGCGCCACGCGCCCTCGTTCAAACATATTGCAAAAGCTTCGCGGGTTGAGGGTGGTCCCTTTTTCAAACTGTGGTTATCGCCTCAGCGCCGCGCAAGTTCGTCTGAAACAATTGCGTGGGCTTCACGGGTTCCCATGGCCAGCGTGTTAGCAATTGCTTTTTTTTGGGGGGGGAAGAACTCAGGGTTTGGAGGGCGCAGCAATTATACTGATTCGCGGCGTTGAAATCAGAGAAGTTGTTGGCTCGATTCTAGATCGTCAAGACGCAACAGTCATGTTGATCCGTGGCGATAGAATCCCGAAAATTGTGTGTTGGCACGCTTTACTGTCCTCGAACCGTTGTCTGCCCACGAGGCAGTTCCCTCAGTGGAAGTGAACTCTTGAAGGGGTCTTTGAAAAAAAGGGAGCTCGGGTAGCGTTTATTACAACATCGTTGATGGGTCTCGAGTTTACAGTGGTCCTCCTCCTCCTCCTCTTCGTCCTCGTTTTCCTCCTCGTTCTCCTCCCCTCCTCCTCCTCCTCCTCCTCCTCCTCCTCCTCCTCCTCCTCCTCCTCCTCCTCCTCCTTCTCTTCGGCTAAGGAATGGGTGGGCAGAGGCGGGACAACAATCAGCAGTAGAGCGAGAGGCCCATCAGTCCGCTCTCGGCTTCGCAGCTCTTCAGCAAGCTGCGGCATGCAAGGTGCCAGGGGAACCTCCTGTTGAGACCGGTCCCGGGGCCACCTGAGTACGCATTGCGCCGCGGGAGAGGAGGGGTGAGGAGGAGGGGGGGAGGAGGAGGACGAGGAGGAGGAGGACGAGGAGGAGGAACAGGAAGAGAATTGGAAGGCGGAGGGGGCGGACGTGCGGTCGGGGAACCTGCGCCACCGACCCCCCCGTTAGGCGCGCGCGCGCCCGCCCGAGGCAAGGGGCGGGGAAGGAGAAGGGAGGGAGAGGGGGGAAGGGAGGGAACAAACAAATGTGGTCGCGTGATGCAAGCGAATGCCGTCCATACCGCTACGGCGTGGGCCTCGATTCTGGACGCACTGGCCTATCCTCGACTTCAGGCTGGTCCCCGATGGTGTTCCCTCCACGCGGCTGCCACCGTGACAACGGGGCAGGGGGGGAAAGGAACAAGGGGCAGGCGGAGGAGAAGGAGAAAGAGTAGAAAACATGACGAATTAGAAAACTAGATGCGGCGTCAGCGCCGCATTGCGCAGGACGCCAAGGCCGAGCAAGACGTCCGCCACGGCCGCGGTCGGCCCCCCGCGCTGCCTGGCAGCATGGTGGCCACGCCGCGCTGCAACGCAATGGCCAGCCGCTGCCTGATACCCGCCAGGCTGGCCGCGCGCCGCTCGTCAGCGGGCGCCTGCGCCCGCAAAAAGGCCTGGAATGAGGTTCGGAAATAGCCACCACAGGCGGTCCACCGCCATATCGCGCGAAGGGACCCAAAATCTAAAACAACCATTGTAAAATCTCTAAGCCCAAAACTGCGGAAATCCCAAACTCCAGAAAAGTGTCAAACATCTCGAAGCCAAAACCTGCGATGATCTCCAGCTCAAAAACTGTTCAAAACATCTCTAAGCCCAAACCTGCGAACACCGCAAACTCTTAAACACCAGCGTTCAAACATTTCTAAAACACCAAAACCAACGAACATCTCAAACTCCTCCCACAAACTTCGAACAAACTATAAGCCGAACCCAAGAAACATCTCGAATTTTGAAAAACGTGAAACCGGAAATACAACAATCATATAAAGCAACCATGGCAATACTGTTTGGGAAAACTCGAAAAACCTGACACGCCGAATAACTCCAATAACAAATACAACAAACTCTACAAACAATTAAACGCCTGACAATTCACAACTCACAAAGGAAAGTCTAGCATAAACTCTAAACCAACGTCCGACCGCCTGACGAACTCCAGAACAACTCCGGGAAACTCTGACACAAACTCCAAGCCCCGGGGAAGCTTGAAAAACAACCTCCACCAACATTACTAGCCGCCCAAACATCAAGCATATATGTTTAGATATCTCTGCTTCAAGTTTCCCTGGAGTGTCGATGTGCAGTTTTTTTGGTTGAGATCTTACTAGGTTGTGGATTAGGGATGTTTGCTGAATAGTTCTGTAGTGTTTGGAATGTTCGCAAGTTTTGGCTTAGAGATGTTTTGAAGTTTCTGGTGAGGTTGAGTTTCCTGCTGAAGATGTTCTAACGATTTCGGCTGGTTTTCTCGATGGACCTACTGCAATATAACTGCCGATTCTGAGCCTGGAACTCGCGGCCCATCCAGCCCCCCCTCTTTCCAGCGACGCCGCAATCAGGCCTGGCCCTGGGCAAGAGACTAGAGACGGAGTTTCTCAAGCTCCCCCTCGCGCGCCGCTGCCTCGTCGGCCCGAGCCCGCGCCCGCGCGGTGGCATCTGCAGCCACGCGCCCAGAATTGCTGCGTCACCCGGCCCCACCCTGGGACGTGCTGCTCTGTCAGCACGGAGTCTCCGTCGCCACACTCCCGCAACCACGCTGCGAAGACGTCCGGGCACTCGTTGTGGCGGCGCACGACACCGGGGCCTGCGCGGCGACGCGCGGCGCGGACGCCCCAGCGCCTCCGGGACACGCATCCGCAGAGCGCACCCGTGGTCGTCGCTCCGTGCGCGCACGCGGCGCTCCGCCTCTCGTTGCTGGGTCTGCGCCCAGGAGGCGGCGCCGAAGGCTGACGACGAAATCGTCGTCGCCGAGCAAGTGTTCCGCCATGCCGGGGAGCCGCGGCCAGGCGCCACCCTCTCCGCCGGCGCTGCGGACCAGGGCTGCCCCGTCGTTGTCCCCCGGGCTTGCCAAGCGTCGCAGCCAGTCGCGGTGAACCCGCCGAGTCGTTGGCTGTAGTAGTTCTTTCTGGGTGCTCGCGCAGGTCGCCGCGATAGCGGCGCCGAGGCGAGCCCTTGCTGTCGCCAGCGCTGCAGAGAGTCGGGGCGTCACTGCGAGCGCTGCGACCTCGGTCGGCAAGCCCTGGTCGGCTCGCACTGCGTCATCCGCCGCGGCCCAGGATGCCACCCAGACACCCTCGGCCCGCAGCGCTGCGCTCTGGAAGCCCGCGCCGCCGAGCTTCAGTGGGAGGAAGAGAAGCACTGTGCTGACGCTCCTCCTCCACCTCCGCGGCCCCGAAGACTCACGAATCCGCGGGAAGCCGCGGGGCAAGCGTGCCGCGTCGCGCCCGCGCGCTAGGGCCTGGCCACGCCCGCGCGTCCGGCAGCGCCGCGTCTTCCTCCTGCTCCTCCTCCTCCAGCTCCTCCTCCCGATCCTCCTTCCTCTCTTCCTCCTCTTCACTCCACCTCCTCCTCCTCCTCCTCCTCCTCCTCCTCCTCCTCCTCCTCCTCCTCCTCCTCCTCCCCCTCCCCCTCCCCCTCCCCTCCCCCTCCCCCTCCCCCTCCCCCCTCCCCCTCCCTCCCCCTCCCCCTCCCCCCCTCCTCCTCCTCCTCCTCTTCCTCCTCTTCCTCCTGCTCCTCCTCCTCCTCCTCTTCCTCTTCTTCTTCGCTCCTCTTCGCTCCTCCTCCTCCCTCCTGCTCCTCCTCCTCCTCCCCCCCCCTCCTCGTTCCTCTTCGCTCCTCCTCCTCCCCTCCTCCTCCTTCTCCTCCTCCTCGTTCCCTTCGTTCCTCCTCCTCCTCCTCCTCCTCCTCCTTTTCCTCCTCCTCCTCCTCCTCCTCCTCCTCCTCCTCGTTCTCTTCGCTCTCCTCCTCCTCCTCCTCCTCCTCCTCCTCCTCCTCCTCGTCCCCCTCCTCCTCCTCTTCGCTCCTCCCCCTCACCCTCCCCCCCCCTCCTCCTTCTCCTCCTCCTCCTCCTCCCCCTCCTCCTCCTCTCATCTTCCTCCTCCTCCTCCTCCTCTTTCCCCTCCCCTCGCGGTGGCCGTCTGGCACCACCCGGGGAGGACGACACCGTACGCAGCGCCTGGGCCTTCAGGGGGGTGGGTGGCTGGATGGGGGGGGGGGGAAAGCCCTCCTTGCCGCGACTTGGGCGCAGCTCCAGAGCTCCAGAGGCGGTTCAGGACTCGCCCCAGGGAGCCGCACGGCGTGGCAGCGATGCTGATCTCGAGCGCACGCTCGAGGTCAGCTCGGAGGCGAGCCTGGGCGTGGAGTGCCGTCAACCCGAATCACAAGGACGCACGAAAAGGATGCACGGGCCTTGGAAGGCCATGCCGACTGTTTGCGAGCGGGGCGCGGCCAGCGAGAGCGGCCAAGGATGGGCTGAAGGGGAAGGATGCAGGGGTGCCCTTGGGAAGTCGCTCCTCCTTGCTTTGCGGGCCGACTGCACTCAAGGCCAGCTCGGCCGCGAGCCTGGGGGGTGGAGTGGGCCCCAGGAGTGAAGGGGAACTGAAACACACAAATAAATACACACAAATAAAAATATCCCCCATATTTTCCCATATTTTCTGGGTTTCTGTCTTCCCCCCCACTTCCCATATTTTCTCATATTTTCTGGGAATCGCCGATTAATTGTGTCTGTGTGTTTTTTTTCCTCCTGAAGGAGGCCTCTCGGGGAGCCCCGTGCGGCCCCCCCGACGAGATCCCCCCCGAAGCCGCCGCCCGCCTCCGCCGCCCGCCGCCGCTGCCGCCCTTCACCCGATGGCCTCCAAAGTCGGGGAGACGTAAGACCCGGGTACGGGGGACTCGGAAATCCCCGACGAGGTCGTCAAAAAAATGACGAGGCCGAGCCTGCATTTTGACGAGGCCTCCCGCTGCAGACATCCCACGAAACTCCTCCTCGTCAAAATCCGAGGCGCGGTCGTCAAAAAACGATGCCGAACCCGAGTCCTGGCAAACCCGGGTCTTACGCTCCCCCGACAAAGGCTCAGAGGTTTGTGGGGAGCTGTGCTCCCTGCCCCTCCCTGCGGAGCCCCTCGTAGATCCCCGATCTCTGCAGGGGGGCGTCGAAGTCGATGGTCGGCGGCGAGCGTGGGGGGGGGAAATTGAAGAGGCGGCGGGCCTCCGAGGCGGCGCTCGGAGCCTCCCCCGAGGACGCAGCCACAAACTTCCCCGAAGGCCGGAGGGCTTCCGAGAAGCCGCCCCGCCTTCTGAGACGGCCCGGTCCTGCTCGCTTCCCCCCCGAGCGCGCCGCCGGCCGGCATCGCTGCCACGCCGTGCGGCGCGGAAGCTGCGGAGTCAGATCGCCTCGGGCGGGACCGGCCGAGCTCGGCCCGCGCCTCCGGGCGGCGCGGCAGAGATCCGACGACGGTCTCCCGAGCGGAACCGGAGCTCCCCCTCCCCAAGAGGGGAGGCAAAGGCCGCTCACGGAAGTCTGGGCGGGAGCCGGCGGAGGGGCCGCGGGGGACCGCCAGGGCCCCATCCTGAGGGCGACTGTCGGGGGGGGGGGGGCACCAGCCCAGGGGGGGGGAAGCACCGACCTTGAACTAGGGCTCCCAACTTCGCGCTTCGCGCTTCGCGCTGCGCGAAGCGCGAATAACTTCGCGCTCTCGCGCCGCCCTCCCAAAGGGAGAATAGGAGGACGAGGAGGAGGGGGGAGAAGGAACGAGGACCGCGAAGCGCGAAGCGCGAATAACTTCGCGCCCTCGAGGGAGCCCTTGTTGAATCGCCGACGGGTCGGCGATGGGCCCCCGGGAGCGACTCCGCCACTTCCTGGGCGGAGTGTGCTGTCGGTCGCCCCTCGGCCATCAGTGGGCGACTGGGGGTCGATGCGCTCCCCCCCGGGGCCTCTCCTCCCCCTGGAGTTTACGGCAGGTTCGTGTCGTGCCGACCCCAGCGTTGGTTTCTGACACCGCAGGGATCGTTCAACCTTGAACGATCGGCCGCTGCCGCAACGTCCAATCGTTCAACGTCGACCGATTCTGGGTCGCCAGCGGCGTTCAACCTTGAACGCCCGCGCTGGGGTCGCCGCGAGTCGACACGACGCAAACCTACCGTACTCCCTGGTTTTCGGGTCTCAGGCGGCCGTTCGGGACGATCTGGGCACATCTGGGCATCTCTCGGCGAGGCGCAGCTGCAGGAGAGCATCCCGAGGCTGGAAAACCGCCGAGAACTGACGAACACGTCCGAAAACCTCGCACCTCGAAACTTCGTCCCCCCCCCCCCCCCCCGCAGCTGGTCCCCCCCTTCAGCTTGCCCCTGGCCGCCGAGCGCCAGGGAACGCCAAGCGGCTCGACGCCCAGGCCGCACTGCTGCGGGCGTTTGAGCCTGCCCGCGCAAGATTTGCTTGCACTGCGGCAGCGGTGGCGTCTCGCCTCAGAGTCCGCGCGTCGTTCTGGCCTGCCGAGGCTGCCGTGTCGTCGTGGTGTGGAGGGGGGAGCATGAGGAAAAACAGGAGGGAGCAGGAAGGAGGATGGGCGATAGTGGCGGCCAGGCAGGATGGTGCGGACAAGGAGAGCGACGAGGACGGAAGATGGGGAAGACGGAGAACGGAAGGGCGGAGGAGGGGAAGAGAGAGGATGGAGGACAACGATAGTCGGCGTCGACGACGCCCCCAGCGACGACGACGACGACGACGACAGCGCTGGCGTCGACGGCGAGGCCATGGGCCCCGGCGCGCACGTCGAGCAGCGGGGCGTGTCCCGCGCGCCTGGGCGGCGTCCTGCCCTTCGCATCGCGGGAGGCCATCGAGGGGGCCTGGCTGTCAACCGCCTGGGCGGCGGTGCGCGCTGGGGGGGCCCGCCCCCTCCTTGCCGCACGCCCCAGGAGGAGGGCGAGGACGACGATAACAGGGTCGGCGACGTCGGCATCGTCGTCGGCGTCCTCATGTGCGTCGTCGATCGTCGTATCGTCCTCATCGCGTCGGCGTCGACGTCGTCGGGGTCGTCGGCGGCGTCGCCGCGATCGCGCCGCGGTCGCTGGCGTCGGGGGCGGCTGTCGTGCAAGTGCGACGGAGGAGGAGGGAGGAGGGTGGAGGAGAAGCTTGAGGAAGAGGAGGAGGAGGAGGCGGAGGAGGAGGAGGAGGAGTGAGGAATAAGGAGGAAGAGAAGGAGTGAGGAGTGAGGAGTGAGGAGGAGGAGGAGAAGGAGGAGGAGGAGGAAGAGGAGGACCAATGTAAACCCAAGAGGCATCAACGATATTGGAATAACCCCTTCCTCCAAGCTCCTTCTTCACAGGCCCCTACAAAGGCGCATTCCCACTAAGGGAACTGCCTCGTTGGAAGACAACCGTTTGAAGACTCGGAGACATGCCAAAACATTGTTCTCGGGATTCCAACGCCACAGATCAACCTGACTGTCGCGTCTTGACGATCCTGAATCGTGCCAAAACGCCATTCCTGGGTCTTCAACACTGCGAACCAACGTAACTGCTGCACCCTCATAATCCTGAGTCCTTCCAAAACACCAAATGTCTAAAACGAATGTGCTCGGCGCTAATCCGAGAATCACAATTTGAAACCGGGTGGGCTTCAATCCGTGAAGCTCTTGCAATGTTTAAACCGAATGTGCGCGGCGCTGAAACGAAAACCACATTTTGAAAACGGGTTGCCCTCAATCCTTGAAGCTATTGCAAATATTTGAAACGCATGTGCGCGGCGCTAGGGCGAGAGCCACATTTTGAGAACCTTGCGCCCTTGAGCCAATGTTGAAGCTTCAGGGTCATACATGGTGACGAAGTCTCCGGCGAAACGCCCAGCCCGCCTTAAAGACTGGCCTCGGGGTGCGACAGGGAGAAAATATCTATCAGGAGAAGGAATGGAGGAGGAGGAGGAGGAGGACGAGGAGGAGGAGGAGTAAGGAGGAGGAGGCGGAGGAGGAGGAGGAGGAGCATGAGGAGGAAAACGGGCAGCCTGCACGATGGCTTCCTCGCACTCCGACATGGCGAGGACGTCCTGGCCCGATTCCGGGGCGACGTTGTGCTTGGTCCTGCCCCTCCTTCTCCTCCTCCTCCTCCTCCTCCTCGTCACCCTCTTCCCGTCCTGATCCCTCCTCCTCCTTCTTCCTCCTCCTCCGCCTCCTCCTCCTCTTCACTCCTTCTCCTCCTCCTCCTCCTCCTCCCTCCTCCTCCTCCTCTTCACTCCTCCTCCGCCTCCTCCTTCTCTTCACTCCTCCTCCTCCTCCTCCTCCTCCTCCTCCTCCTCCTCCTCCTCTTCACTCCTCCTCCGCCTCCTCCTCCTCTTCACTCCTCCTCCGCCTCCTCCTCCTCACTCCTCCACCACCTCCTCCTCCTCCTCCTCCTCCTCCTCTTAACATCTCTTCACTCCTTCTCCTTCCCCTCCCTACTCCTCCTCATCCTCCCAGGGGCGAAGCTCGAGGTGGACCCCTCCTCCCACGCGAGCGTGGACATGTTCCCCGAGGAGAAGGTCGGTCCCGAGAAGTACAAGGAGGGCAAGTGCCTCAAGCTGGGTGCCCAGCGTACGTCTGCCAGCGAGGAGTCGGACATCGAGTCGGACCAGCAGGGAGAGGGCATCGCCGCGGCGGCGCTGGATTGGTATATCGGGAAATCGTTCGACGAACGGGGTACGCAGATGGGGTGCCGTGAGCTGAATCCCAGGGCGGACGAGACCTCAGCGACCCAAGCGAAGATCGAGGAGAACGTGTGGTGCTTGTCAGACTTGGCGGTAGAGCTGATGGAGGAGAGAACCGCTGCATGGGCGACCAAGTCACGGCTCGAGGAGAAGGGGGTGCGGCAGCTCACCTCGGCGCTGGACGGGCAGCAGGTGCGCTTGGACAGACTGATCAAGAATGAGCTTCGGAGCAAACGTTCGCACCGAGCTCTTGGTCGGGAGGCCGGGCCGAGGCAAGATCGGGGTGAGGAAGATCGTGCGCTGGATGCACCTGGCGCTGCCGAGTCACACCTGCGTCAGGACGCTCCCTGGCGCAAGCTTGACTCGCAGGGCTTGCAGATCTTCGTTTTCCCCCGAAGCTGGAGGAGATGGAGGACAGGACCGATGCGAAGACCGAGGGGGGGGGTGAGGCAGACGCCCCCCGTGAAGTCCGCGGCCGATGCGACGCGCTGGGTGGACGATCTGGACGAGGACATGGTGCCAGCCCGGTGCCACGGCGATGGGGAAGGCCTCCCTGATCGGTGAGGGCGAGGGGCCCAACTGTGAATTGGGCAACCTCGATGCGGTCGAACGCACGGGCGACGCGGACGCGAAACTCGACGAGCCGGCGGCGGCGTACCCCACGGTGATGACTCAGGAGAGAAACGCAAGCGAGCGAGCGACCGGCAGCCGAGAGGCAGTTGGGTCGGGCGCCCGCTCAGGCGAGACCCTCGAGCCAACCTCAGGAGCCAGACCCTTGAGCGCGGGGCCCGCAGCCGTCTGCTCTACAGGTTCCGGCTCCTGGCGAGGGGTGCCTGCAAGATCGAAGCGGCGTCGGGCGCCTCCGCGCAGGGAACACTGGGCCTGCAGGAGCAGCGCAAAGGGGACAAGGAGGAGGTCGAGGAGCCCGAATGTGTGTGTGTGTGTGGGTGTGTCTTCTCCCCCCCATCCTGCATGCCGGCCAATTCGCATTTCGGTTGCCCCCACCTCCGCAGCAGCGCCGACCAGCAGCGCCGCATGGCCCACGAACGCGCACGCAAACGCCAACGATGTCACAATACAGGCAGGCGGAATGAGCGAAGCGATTTAATAGCAATTTATCTGCGGTACCCGCCGCACAACAACGTCGACGACAACGACGACGACGACGACGACTACGATTACGACTACGACCACGATACGACTACGTCTACGGCTAAAACTACGACAACGAATAACGATCACGACTACGATTACGACTACGACTGCGACGACTACTACCGCTACTACTTATGCCTCAGACACGCTATCCCGGAAAATCCTACGTAGCTCATAAACTCGATCCTCAGAAACTCCGCCCTCAGAAGCTCCATTCTATTGCAATCCCCGTGAGAGGTTGCTCAAAACCCCTCTCGCGTGTGGAGTTGCCCGCGGTGGATGATTCGCTGGGGGAAATAAACACCCAAGAATATCCAGCCACCGAGCATAAGTGGAAACCGATTCCCCTGGTTCACCAGGCGCTGACCAGGCGCCAGCAGCAGTTCTGCCAGCAGCAATAGGAATATCATTTTGCGATAACTCGTTACTCAAACCGATGCACACTCTTGTTGCAGTCCTCATTAGAAGCTGTTAAACCATCCTCTCGCGTGTGGGGTAGTCCACGGTGGACTATTCGCTGAGAGAACTAGCCAACCAAGAATATGCCTCCCACCGAACATTACTGTATTTCCCTGTCGCCGCAGGCGCTGAAAAAGGCGCCAACATCAATTCTGCTAGCAACAATCGGCAAGCTAACTTGAGAAAACTCACGACCGTAAGGCCTCTCCAATAATTCTTCCCTGTTGCACCCCCAGCCGTGTCGGCAGGGCGGGCTGGGCGGTTCGCCTGAGACGTCCTCATCACTTCTGATCCCGAACTTCGGCCTTTGCCACAGCCTCAGCGAGATGTGGGTCGTTATCATGATTCAGCTATGGCCTCAATTCCGCACACATTCTATTTCCAAGTTTGAAGCAGCTTCAAGGATGGAGGAGAAGCGGGTCGTTTTCAAACTGTGGTTCTCGCCTTAGCGCCGTGCACATTCGTCTCAACTCGCTCGCAACATTTGCAAGGATTAAGTACAGGTAGTTTTCAACCTCGGGCTCTCGCCTCAGCGCATCGCACAAGCATGTTAACATCTTACAGCATTCAGAATAAGGAACTACTGCTAGTTTCCAACCCGAGGTTATATCTGATGACTTCGTTATATCATTGCTTAAGACCGAAGCCTAAAAAACAAACAAACAAAACAACATGTAGCACTGAATGGATCGAGGGCGGCCCTTTTGCAAACTGGACCTGTCGCTTGAAGCTTTCTCGACATTCATGACCATACGTGTCAACTTATGCAGCGGCAACACGGATGGGGGGCGGTCCTTCCTTAAAAGGGGTTCTCGCTGGACACCACGTTGAACTATAGTATATGATCATAAGTTCCGCATGTCAAGTTACGCGCCACAATGATGCAATACCGTTCCTTCAAAATGGGCCCCTCGTCAGAATGGCAGGCCCAACTGGTGCTGCTCTTTCAAGGTGGGTCTTTTGTAGTGAACACGAAATCTTGTAGGGATGTGTGAGGAAGAGACTTGGGACTGGAGGGTGCATTGCAGCACCGCTGGTGCATCTTGGGTCTGCCTTGGTCCTCATACATCCTCCTCATCCTCCTCCGCCTCCCTGAAGCGCCTCCTCCTCCTCCTTCTTTCCTTCCTTCTCATTCTCCACCCCTCCCGACCCTTTCCCTCCTATATTTCCTCCTCCTCCTCCCTCCCACTCCTCCACACACCCTCCTACTCTCTTCTGCTCCTCCGTCCTCCTCCACCACCTCCTCGTCTCTCCTCCCTCCTCCGCCTCCTCGTCCTCCCGCCTCCATCCGCCCTCCTCCACCGCTTGCCCCGCGCACCCCCCCCCCGCCCCGTGTGGCCCCACCCCTCATCTGGCTGAAGAGGTGTCTTCGCCGAAGATGCATCTCGCCGACGCCCCCGGTCCCCAGGCCCTGCGCGTGCGCGTGCCGCGGAGGTCCGAGAGGCGCGGCCAGGGCGACGGGGAAGAGGCACAGGCAATGGAGGACGAGGAGGAGAAAGAGGACGACGCCGAAAGGGGAGGACGTTTTGGGTTCGAGGCTTTCGAACGTTTCCAGCGAGTCTCGCTAGTTTTGCAACCTCGGGATGCTCTCCGACAGTTTGGCCACGCCGAGAGTGTTGCGAGGGTGCCCAGATCATCCACTAGGGCGCCTGCAGAGCCTAGTTAGGACCCGAAAGCCAGGGGCAAGGCCGAGAAGGACGAAGACGGTGACGAGATACAGAATAATGGCGATAAGAAACAGGAGGGGAGGCAGGAGGTGGAGGAGGGCGACGAGGAGGACGAATAACAGACAGATGAGGATGGAATCATGTATGGAGCCCTTAGTATAGAAATGATTGAAATGCGTGTCATGCCTCCGCCTCCTCCTTCCCTCCTTCGCCAAGACCCGCACAATTACTCGCCACACCCTTACAGACCAGTGCACGTTCAGCATCCCTCACGTAGTCAGGGTCACGCAGGCTCACCGATCAGACTCATCTGCAACTCGCCACCAAGACTCGCTCAGACTCGCTCACCTTCCATTGTACTTATGTTCAGTCGGCCGCTCCGAAACGCACCCATATTCAGACCCACTCATCCCCCGTCACACTTTTTACTCAGGCCCACACGTACTCAGAAACACTCTCAGTCTGCCAGGCAAGCTTACATTGGCTAAATCATACCCCAACTGAGTCATACTCACTCGTACCGTATCACGCCCAATCTTATCCATCGACGCTCCCTCATCATCCAACCTTGCTTGCACTCACACACACTCCTACGTGGCCGCTTAAACTCATGCTCTCACACCGGGCACACTCCCCTAAGAGCAACGCTTGCCCTTGGGGGCTCTTCTGCCGAAATACTCGGCTGGGTACGTGTGAGTTTCGCCACGTTGCCGCCCGTGCAGCCTCGTAGGCGCCCCGCGCTTGGGGGGGTCATCCCCGTCGTGGGCGCCCCGCGCTCACGGGGTGTTTCGGGCTTGCGCCACGCTGCCGCCCGTGCCGCACGCCTCGTGGGCGCCGCGTGCTCTGCGCCCAGACGGCAGAGCTTTGAACACGTAGCTTGCACCGCATACGCTACACAGCATGGCTTACATCACATGGCGTGCGCACCACAGCTCCCACCTCCGGTTCCGGAAGCCGAGTGGACACGCCATAGCCCACGCCTCACAGTTCCACGCCCATACCTCACCTCACACCACACAGCGTACACGGCACAGCTTTCGGCACACAGCTTATACTGCTCAGCTTTCACAT